CTGGAAAATGATGGGTCCATTACTGTGTGGTAAAGAGACTAAGGTTTCCCAGCTCCAAAAATAGGCACCCAGTCCCAGCCTGCCCGAAGCCTGTTCCATTGCAAATATGCCACAGAAGGAAGCCTGCATTCTGTCACAGATGGGAGACCAGCTGCATGAGAGGCTTCAGAGGTTTCTGGAGGGAAGAAGGAAATGGCCCATGAGGAGGGAAAACTGGAGGCTAGAATGAAGCCCCAGGAGGGCACAACTTGGCAAGACCGGGTGGACTGGCAACCTGAAGTCATTAGCCAGCTCTCTTACCTCTGCCCCCCCCCACCCCCAGAAACTACCGTGTCTTAGAAGGACTGAGAAATGCTCCCAGCCAAGGAGGGATTCAAAATTCACCCTAAGCGACCCAGACCCCAGGCCTGAAGGATGCCTGCTGTCCCACCCTTCAGGCAAGCCAGTGAGCTCTTGGAGCAGCCGAAGATAGACATGCTGGGAGAAGCCAAGAGGGTAACGTGGGCAGGTCCCTTTGCCTCTTGGGCGACTCTGGTGTCCACAATCAGGTCCAAAGCAGGTTCTCTGGGAAGCAACCCTCTCCCGCCCAGCCAGGATGCAGAAAAACAAACGCATCCCTCCCAGGACACAGCTCATCAGCCTGACCTATTAACTCGGGGAAGCAAGTAACCAGAGCTGCTGGGCCTGGCATTTGGGACTGTCCCACAAGCAGCTAGGGCCACCTATTGCAAGGAAGACAGACCTGCAGCAAGTGAGAGGCGCTGAGCCAGAAGGTGCTGATGCTCCATCACATAGACCAGGCAGTGAGACCCAGTGTACCCGCCTGGGCATTAGCCAGCTCCCGCACCTCTTTTCAGGCCATGAGGGGGCAAGACCTGGGTGGAGACTGGACCTCCAGACTGAGCAGTCACAGGAGCACCTGGAGGAACCAGGCTTGACGTGGGCCTGTGGGAGCATAAATGAAGGGGTCACTGGTCCCAGGACCTCTGTGAGTGCTGACTGAACTCAGCCTGCAGAGTTAAGCTGCTCTCCGCCTCTGGGAGCTGCCTCTGCCATTGGTAAGCATACCCTACAGCAGCCTTAGATTGGGGTGGGAGGGCAGGTCTTCCAGTGAGGAGTCAGGGCATGCCCCATTGCCAAGGCAAGAGGAGAGTGCCCACTGAGACTTGGATGCTGCCACCACCTCCATTTTGCTGATGAGGGACTTAAGGCTCAGAGAGGAGAAATAATTTGTGCAGGATCCAGCAAGCCTTAGCAGTAAGTGTAAACCCAGACCGCTGGCCCCAAGCCCCATGCCTATAACCAGGAGTATCTGCCTTGTTGTGACTCCAGGAAAGACTGGAGAGTCAGGACCTTGGGGCCATGGCCCCTCACTAACCAGGTGCAGACTCCATTTCATGCCTCAGCTCCTCCGGGCCACTGCCCCCCCACCCAGAATGTCCTTCCAGGAGCTGCACTGGGCCAAGCCACCACAGGTGCTGGCAGCTCTGTATGGGTTGAGTTTGGCACTGAGAAAGACTCCAGACGCTGACCAAAAAACTGGAAGCCTCTTGGGGCAAGTGGTCTGGTCCAGCCATAGCGTAGGAAAGTCCTTTTATTGGTGTTAAATATATCTTGACCTGTTCAAACAGGAGCTTCCTTTTTGCAAATGGCCAAGAAATGACTTCTATATCAGCTCAGGGAATGCATCCAGCCACCAGCTGCTGCCTGGTGTCTGACATGCTTTGTTACAAGTCAGTGGTTTCTCACCAATGAGCAGTGAGATTCCTGCCATTGCACCAGCTTCTGACGAGAATCATCTGCTCTGTGTTATTTATATAAGTGCAAACCCCAGAATCCTAGAAGGTGCTATCTCGCTGGAGAGCAGGTCCTGGAGAGAGCTGGGTGGGCATCAGCCCTGGGCTGGCATCACAGGCAACTACTCGCAGGTGTGTTTCCTCTTGGGCAAAGCATCCGTGACCTCTGTTGTGCTGCACCTGGGAAGGTGAAGGCATGAGGGCATCTTGCAGGCAGAGAACATGTGATTGGTGGGAAGACAGTTGTCACTTGTGCTAGTCCAGGCTCACACGGGGAGAGAGAGAAGCACAGCCTTCTCCCTTGCAGCGTGGCCTAGGGTACAGAATTTATTCCTCTGATTCAGAGTATGAGGAGAGGCTGTTTGTGTCCAGCTGGTGGGGAGAGTCAGCAGGTCGAGGTGATATGCTAGCAGTGGTTGTTGCCCAGAACACCAAAGGCTGCCCTTGGCTTCATTCACCACAGTGGCTCAGTCCAACTGCAGGAGGAAGGTGCCCACCCCCATCTTAACCACCTTTGGGCCCCTCAGCAGCAGCTCTGACCCATGACATCAAATAGACAGAGTCATAGGACAACCTGGTGACAGGGTGGAACCCCACCCAGCCAGGGAGGGGCTAGGGAGAAGAACAGAGCCACAGCTGGCTCTCAAAGCCGAGCATTCCCTCCAAGGTCAAGGGAGGTGTGAGGGAAGGCCCCAGAGACCAAGCTGAAGGACTGGAAATACCTTAATACAGGAGGCACCGCCAGATGGGCGCCACAGGGACATGAGCAGGGCACCTTCCAGAAGGGGCCTTGAGTGAGGCCATAAAGGGTGAGCAGAACATGAAAGGCAGGAAGATAAAGGCGGTCTGGTGCTGCTGCAGCATGGGCCAGGGCTCTGGAGGCCTGTCCAGGAGGCAGCACCTGGGGTTCTCGTTCCTCCATACTCGCTCACACTCATGCATACTTTACAGTTTGCAGCATTACAGCCCAAATTAGCACACTCCTTTTTCAGTGATTTGTGATGTAAGGCGGCAGGATGCTACTCTACCACCTGGCAGTGCCCAGGCTGGGAGAGTGCACATACCATGGTGACAGGGACACCAAGTCAAGGGACCAGGTGGCTCCAGCCCTGCCTGCTTTCCACTTTGGGACTTGACTGCTCTCCTCAGCTGAGGGGCCCCATGCATGGAGGGATGTAGTGGTGGCAGTCCACCTGCAGGCCATAAACACCTAGCACCTATTTGGGGGTGACTGTGTGAGACATCTAGCCTGGTAGCATAACCGCTTGGAAGCTTCCTTCCACAGGCCTTGAATCCTGCCTGGCCTTGAAGCCTATGGAGACAGGGCATCTGCGCAAATAGGGGCTCTGCAGTTATGAATCTCACCTTATTAATGTTCACTAGTTTTTATAAGTTACGTTCTTTCATTGAGTGTCCGTTATGTAAATGTGAAAATGTCCAATATTTGTCTCTCATTCTGACTTGCTTTACTGCACATAATTTCCTCAAATTCCTTCCATTTTTCTGTAAATGGGAATATTTCATCTTTCCTTACGGCTGAATGAATGAATGGTGTTGCATAGTGCAGGTTTACCACCCCTTCTTGACCCAGTCTTCTGTCGGTGGGCATTTAGGTGACGTCATGCCCTAGCTGTTGTAAAAAGTGCTGTTATAAACATTATAGGACATAAAGATTTTTGAGCTGATGGTTTCATGTTCTTTAGATAGGTGCCCAAGAGTGGGACTGCTGGGTCATGCCATTATTTCCGTTTTTAGTTTTTTGTTTTTTAAAGATTTATTTATTTGTTTGTTTATTTATTTATTTATACAAGCACTGGGTACAGTCAGAAGCGCGGGAGGGTGAGAGAATTCACCAGAGCCAGATCAGGGAGCAGAACAGGCAGAAGGACCGAAGTACACTGCTGAGGGGAGCAGCGGGCGGCAGGAGAGGTCTGTGCACCATGTGGGACCCTTGCTCTGCGGCCGGGGATCGAACCGGCGCTGCAGAGGCTGCGGGCAGCTTCGCAACCCAGCGCTTAACCGCTGCGCCACCGGGGAGGACCCTCCATTTTTAGTTTTTAAAGGTAAATCCAGATTGCTTGCCATAGTGCTGAACCAGTTTACATTCCCACCAGCAGTGTAATGGGTTCCTCATCCTCTGTGTCCTTTCTAGCACTTCTTGTTGGGGTTCTTTTTAATTAGTGCTGGTCTCACAGGTACCAGATGGCAGCATCTCACGTGGTTTTGACCTGCATCTCCTTTATTGAGAGCGATGATGAACATTTTCCTTGTGTATTTATCTTTCTGTTTGTTCAGATCTGCTGCCCATTTCTTAATGGAGGAGTCTGGCTTTCTGTTGTTGAATTGTACAGTTAAAAGCTAGAATTGTCACTTCTGTGTAGCAACCATGAGTTTGGGAGTGAAGCACATTGTTATTTTTTTTTTAAAAGCCCGTAGCCACTAGCACACATTTAAGGTCCTCAGAAAAGGGATGTAATGGGTGGCTACGTGCCACATTCTGTGGTCACTGGGCCACTAATCTCATGTTCTGTGCCAAAGGACAGGCCCACAGGATCCTGCCCTGGGCAAGTAGAGGTCTTGAGTGACTTTGAATCAGCCCAGCAGGAGGAGAGGGGCCTGAGCTTTCCCCAGTTCTCGAATGGCACCTTTGGTTTTGGAAGCACAGTTTACCCCCTCATGGACTCTGGCTGAGGACTATGGTGATATCACATGGCAGAGTGAAGACTCAAAGGACTGAGCCAAAAACGCCAGCAGGATGGAATTGACTGGCGGGCAGAGAGCTGCCCACGCTCCTGTTGAAAAAGACTTGACCTGACAGTGTCTCCTAGGGGAGGCCTTAGCCTGCACATGCAGGTGTGGGTGGGCTGGCCGCGGGTATGAGGGTGGAGATGGCCCTGGCCACAGAGACGAAGGTGGTCATGCCACAGTCCTGAAGCCACCTGTTAAGGTCACTGACCATGGGTGCCCAGATGAGCAGGTAACACACAGCAGGCTCTCAAGGAGCAGAGTGGGTGGCGCCGGCCACCTCAGGGACACCAGTGGGAGATGGATGAAGACAGATTTGATCTCGCAGAGGAAGAACTTGTGGGGGCTGGTACTGGCCTGAGAGACCTTGCTAAGACCCTGCCTGTCCAGCAGGGCTGTGGGCCCAGGGTCTGTCCTTGCTGTGGGCCCTGATTAACACAACCATTTTACTTCCCCCAGAGTCGAATGGCAGAGAGCTTGCGCCTTTTTGACTCCATCTGCAACAACAACTGGTTCATCAACACCTCACTCATCCTCTTCCTGAACAAGAAGGACCTGCTGGCGGAGAAGATCCGGCGCATTCCTCTCACCATCTGCTTCCCTGAGTACAAGGGCCAGAACACCTACGAGGAGGCCGCCGTCTACATCCAGCGGCAGTTCGAGGACCTGAACCGCAACAAGGAGACCAAGGAGATCTACTCCCACTTCACCTGTGCCACCGACACCAGTAACATCCAGTTTGTCTTTGACGCGGTGACAGACGTCATCATACAAAACAATCTCAAGTACATAGGTCTTTGCTGAAAAGCCAGGCCAGCTCATTTGCCTGTGGTAAACCCACGGGGTGTCATACCCCCACCTGTGCTAGGGAGATGCAGCCCAGGGGCAGAAAATGGGGGACCTCAAGAATGTCCCCCTGCTCCTCCACCTCCTTGGCCCTTATGATTCCACAAACATAAATATATATGGATAGATTGCTAAGTAGGTAGACACACACACACACACACACACACACACACACACACACACCTGAAGATAGCAAAGTTCCCCAAAGCATTGAGGTCTCTTGAAGACTTGAGGATCTGTCACCAAGTTCACTACAAGCCCTTCCTGCCCCTTCACTTTGCCTTCCTGAGTCAGCCCCACTCTGCATGGGGGTCCTCGTGGGACAATTGGGAGAGGTGGCCGCCCACGCCCAGGTCACCTGGAGAAGGCCAGCTCTGCCCGAGCTCCGGACTGATGACCTTTCCGCTGAGCAGAAGGGAGGACCAGGCCAGGGTCCGCGCCTGCCCTGCTGGCCACACCCACTAACGGCCTACTTTGTACCGTGTCTGTTCTGGAACCAGGGTGTACAGCCAGATGACAGCACTAACCAGACCTCCAGCCACTCACAGCTCTTTTTAAACAGCTTCAAAATATGCAGCAAAAATCCACACAATAACATGAGTGGCGCGATTTGTTTCAAACTAGGCCAGCTGGGTTCCAGCTTTTCTTCTACTAGTCTGATGTTTTATAAATCAAAACCTGTTTTTTCTTCTCTGACATCTTTTTTTTTTTTTTTTTTTTTTTTTTTTTTTGGCCAAATCTCGTGGTGTTTCGCAGAAAAACAGAAATACAGAAAATTTCAAATGCAGTTGAGTATTCTTTTTTAAATGCAGATTTCCAAAACATATTTTTTTTCCAGGTGGTCTTTTTGTGTCTGGCTTGCTGAGTGTCAGAGTTGTTCTGTGGACGAGTGTGTCCCTCTGCTCACTCGAGCGTCGCCCTGCGGCAGACTCGAGGGCAGTGTTGTACATAAGCCTGTGCAGCGTCCTCTTGTTCCTGGTGCGGTTTCTGCTTTGTTTTTATTTCAGAAAATCAATGTGGTGTATTTAAAGAAGGTTCTTCACCTAGAGCGAATGAACAATAGCTAAATGTCTTGGTATTTAAAGAATAAGTTATCTGTGGCTTTGCAAGTGGAGGAAAGGTGAGAGGTGGGACAGCGCCTGAGACAGGCTGAGCGCAGTTACGACTCCTGTGAAGGCTCAGCCAACCGTGTAGCCTGAGGGAGGCCCTGCCGGGACCCTGTGTGGCCCTCCCTGCCCAAGGCCTGTGGCACTGGCCCTGAAAGAACCTTGGGCAAGGGCCCTGTGTAAATACAAACCCCAAACCCTGCTGTCGAGAGCGAAGGCACCGCCAGAGCCCTTGCCAAATCTCTCGGTCTTTGTTCAGTACCCGTGTGTCCAAGGTCAGTGTGCAGAGTCACAGCCATGAACTTTAAGAGATGTACAGAGGGAAAGAGGAGCTGGTGATCGTATGAAAGTCAAAGATTGTCTACTTTAAGAAAATAAAATACCCTGAATGAGCCGAGCCTCGTCCCGGCGTGCTGTGTGCGTGTGTGACTGGCGCGTGGCCACCCTTGGACCCTTGGTGCTGTCTGGGAGGGTTACCCGGGACACCTCCACGCTGAGATGCTTGCCCCCTCCACACATTCAGATAAAATCATTTGGAAATAAATGTGAAGAATAAACCTCAAGAGAGGAAAAAAGCTGCAAAAGAGGGGAGACCTGCCATGGGCCCCAAGGGGCTGAGGTTTGAAGGTGATGATTCCTCAGACCCCACCCAGCATGACCCAGGCTTCCCTGTCACCCAGACCCCTGCACCCTAAAGACACCTCTGTCAGGATCAGGGCTGCCCCACAGATTGGAAGAGGTGCCCAGAGAGCCTGGAGGTTGCTGACAACCCCCAACAGTGTAGGGGCACCCTGCTGGCCCACCATTTGTTGATTCTGGCTGGTGTGATGAGAGGCCTCTCCAAGTGGTGGAAAGCACTAATTAGAAGACAAGGAAGTTTGTTCACGCTGCAGCAGGCAAGCTCCTTACAAATTATTTAACATGATCCACTGTAGCAGGTTGTAAGTAGTGACCATTTTACGGTTGAGGCCACGGTCAGAGAACAGGAGGAGCAAAGACAGACACCAGTGGTGGTCACTCAGCCCTCTAATGACTCTGCACCTGACTGGGGCAGGAGCCCCAGGGGAGCACAAAGCCACCTATGCCATCGCTTCCTTAAATGCAAGACCCCCACAGAGCCCTGAGCAAGGAGCAGCAGACAGGCGCACACGCACGCACACCCACAGACACACGGCATACAGCCCCACTCTCGTTTCCCCCACCCCTAAGCCCAGGTGGGGTTCCCGCCACACTTCCCATGTCGTCACATAGCAAACACCCAAGGGGGCTTTTGTGGGAGAAGAAATAATGTGTGACTTAAAATCTTCCAAACTTATTTTGCACTTTTAATGCCAACTGTGAGAAGAGCAGTAATTTCACCGTGAGAGCCTCTTTAACCTAAAAATACAGTTATAGGGAACTAGGGTTCTGCCTTCCATCCTGACGTGTTTGAGAATGAAAGGCGGCTTCCCTGCAACAGTGCTTCCTCCCGATTCCCTGAGACAGGCACAGATTCCCACCCTCCAGGTAGTCTTGATCTCTAGGTTCCTCTTCTCATGAGCTGCTGCCTGCTTCCCTCCGACACGCCCTGCCCCTTCCTCACAGCCCAGCTCCCTGGGTGGCCTACTTGACAGTCCTCTCCCTCCTGCACGCCACTGCTTAGAGCACCCAGGCCAGGCAGGGTAAGGGAGGGAGGGTGCCCACCCCATGCTCCCCCCTGAGCCTGTACAGTGGCTGGCATGGGGAGGACGAGGGCTGAGCTGGAGGTCCTTGGTTCGACTACTGGCGAGGTAGAGGAGGTCAGGGCAGTGGCCGCCCACGAGCTAGGAGTCCTGCTTAACCAGAGGGAAGTGAGCTCCAGGACCAACAGAGAAGCCAGTAAGGAGGCCAGAGTCGGTGGGAGCAAGGTCCTAGGAGAGGTGCTGCCCTGCACAGGAGGAGCTGGCCCAGCCCTGTCCTCTGCAGTCAACTGACCACAGCCTGGGTCCCCTTGGGTCACTCAGACTTCCTCTTCCAGGACACACTGCCATGTAGCTCGTGGGGCTACATGTACCTTCTACTTCCCACATGGCACCCAAGATGGTGCTATGGGACAATGACAGTGTCACGATAAGCTCAGCTCCTCTTCATGACTGTTCACCACGAACAAGGCCCTGTGTTGAGCCTTACACCAGTTCCTCTGATTCCACCCTCCCCTACTCCCAGAAAGCCAAGATTATTGATTGTATTTTACAGAGAAGAAAGCAGAGCCCCTGAGAGAAGATGACTTCCCGGTGTCACACGCATTGAAGGAACGACGCAACTGAGCCTGAGTCCCCTGGGTCTGTACGCCATCTGTCCACACTCCCTGGAGCCCATGGAGGCCCAGAGCTAGGACAAATGGGCCCATCTAGGACAAATGGGCATGGGGTGTGAGTCCAGCTGGCACAGGGCATTGCTGGGGAAGCTGCCTTGCACCATGAAGACAAGGGGGCCACAAGGGTGTTGGAGGTGGGCCAACACCCTGGGGAACTCACCAAAAGATGAGCTGGGCTAGTTTCAGCACTGAGATGGGATTTAGGCCAGATGCCACCTGGTTCTACCCAACAAATGCCCAGAAGCCCTTCATCCCTTTGGTAATTCATGGAGAAGGCTGAGAAAGGCCACCTACCCCAGAGACAGCACAAGGACAGCCGCCGGGACTGGCCTGGCTTGACTGGGCCAGATAGGGCGAGGCTCTCTCCATGGGAGAGGCAGATGAATGGGGAGGGGGGAAGGCAGGGAGGCATCACCATGCGTGGCAGCCCGGAAACCAAATGGGAGATGTCACCATCAGTGGTGTCATCGTTTGCTAAGTCCAGGAGGGCATAGTGCCCCCAAAGACGGTCAGCCTAGGGAAGTGCCCAAGGCCCTGCTGCACCCTATCCTGAAGGCAGGTGAGAAAGGAGAGAGCTGTCTCTGAGGCAGCCAGCCCCATCCCTCTACCCTATGGTGTCAGATCCAGGAGAAATGGGTGCTCCTCTTGGCTGCCTGGCAAGAGGGAATAGGGTGCAGCAGTAGGCCCAGCTGAGGCTGCCTGGTGTGGAAGTAGAGAGCACATCGTTTTGCTTCTCCAGCAGTCACCGCACTAGGCTTCTACTGCTCCCACATCTTCAGCTTCCCCTGGACACAGCCACTCCAATTACTCCCTACCCCCAGATGGCATGACTCCTGGGATATCCCCCTACACCTCAAAATTACCCAGATCAGACCTGTAGCTGGACATCTCCCTGACCACACGCAGTCCCTGCCCAGCCCAGCTCTCCTCCTTTCTGAGGCCAAGCGACTGTCTCCACAGGAGAGGCTTGAGTGCCTCCTCCTGTCCTCCCTCCCCTCCCCTAGCTGGTGTTCCTGCTGTTGCTGAATTAGGCCAGCAACTATCAGAACCCTGGACAGGGACAGAGTGCCAGGGGCTGGGCCAGACTCACAGGTATACCCACTCAGGGCCCAAGGCTGTTATTAGAGCACCCAAAGGAGTCTGGTCCATGGCCAGTGGGACTGGTAGGGGGACACTTGCAGGAGCACCTAATCTGATGCACCTCAAAATCCAGTTACAGAAGAATCCTAAATGTTGGCACTGGAGCTGGCTCCTATATAATGGCATAAAATGAGACCAGTGTCCACCCAGGATAAGCAGAAACAAAAGAGACAGATTCCCCCAGAATGCCGGGCAATCAGTTACCCAGGCTGGCTGACAAGGAGCTTGGAGTGGCAACTTCTGCGTGGCATCTGCCTCTATCCTCTGGGTTTCTCCTTCCCAGACGCTGCACCACCTGGGACCTGAGACAGAGTCGCGCAGCATCAGACCGTCATCCGTTCTGTGGCTCCCCCTGCTGGTAGTTATGGGCAATGCAGCAAAACAGACCTGGCGGGGCTCAGATTCAGAGGGAATTCCCTTCGCAGCTTTACTACCCCCCAGATACCCCAACACATATTTGTCAAACGAATGAAGGAGTGAGTGAATGAAAGAAAACAGGTAACTTTAACAAATATACTTTAAAATATGGCATAAAACCTACTAACCAATCAATATTTGTTGAGTGTTAGCCACCTGCCAGGCACTTCACTAGCACAGAAGATGCCTTCCAGGAATTACACACTAATAACCACCAGTGTGAGAGCACACTAAGCTGCAAGTGAAGACTGTCCCAGCAAACGACATGGGCACCCATTCTATGTGTTGCTGCCCGGGCATGTGATGAAGCTGAGGTTGCTAACGATGGAGTCACTGAAATAGATGTTCTCACCCCACCAGAAGCTCAGCAAGGTGCCCCTCTACCTGGGTCACAGCTTCAAGGGTCAACCCGGAAGCCATAGAGCTCAGAGCCCCCCAGATGAATCTCCTAGAGCCCTCATCACACATCTTATCTCCATCACTCTATCCAACTATCCCCCACCCCCGCCCCACCTCACTACAGATCCATCCCAGGCTCCCCTCTGAGCACATCACAGACAATAAGCAGCACCCAGGAAATGCTACAGGGCAGAGGTTTGCACTTTGGGCACCCAGTGAGACTTGTCAAAACAGCCCTCATGATACACACAGTGTCTGTCGTTCCAGAAAATTTGCAGAGAGGAGATGAGGGAGACCTCCAACCGGAACCCAGATTACCACAGAGCTTTTGTGATTAGACAGTGATGGACTAACAAGATCTATTCAGTATACCAGAAGACCTCCAAGCAAACACAAAACTCCATTCTAGGTAACTTCAGGACTAAATGTGAAAAGCAAAGTCTTATACTTTCGGAAGAAAATAAGGCAGAATATTGTCATGAACTCTTAAACAGCTCTTAAAGTCTCTTAAACAGAAACCCTCCCCCCTAAAAAAACACACACACACAAAGAAAAAGATTGATGAAACTGACTACATTCAAATGCAAATTAACAGTGAAAAGTCACACAAACCATCCTGGAACTGATATTTGAATGTATGCAGCCAACAAAGGGCTAGAACCCAGGGTAAATGAAACACTCTCAAATCAAAAAGGAAAGGAAAAACAACTCAACAGAATGGGCTCCAGCTCCCCAGAGGAACCAGGCAGGGGAGGAGCTGGAGGCTGCTCCAGGCTGAAGCTTCCTCTCCCAGTCACCAGGGAGAGCAAAGCCAAACCACAGGACTGCTGAGGAAGATCTCCCATGGGGCTCTCTACCAAGGGGAGGGGGCTGGGGAAGCAACTAAGATATCTGACCAAGCTGAAGGTGTGCATTCCTGAAGCGACTCCAGGAAAACCCATGTGGGAATGTTTGGGAGCCAGAGGAACTGGCAAGCATGTTGGCCAGGCACAGGGAAGCAGAGCGAATACAAGTATACATTCAGACAGGTGGTTATAATAAATCAAAGAGCCCCTGACACCACACAGACAAACCTCAAAATTGTAACATTACATTCTTTAAGGTTTTTTAAGTAGCAAAAGGTTATATCAGCAAGATCCATTTACATCATGTTTTACAACATGTAAGGCAACATCTCTATATAATTACATGTGTGATAAAATACAAAGACATGTGTTAGGCATACAGTCATCAAATCATCTGGTGGTTCAACGAGGGCAGGAGACGGTGCCACGGGGTAAACACAGGGTGCTTAGATTGTATTTTTTTTTAAACAGAAATCTCAAGCAAATATGAAATTTGATAGGATATTAAAGATTTTGCAAAGCTAGGTAATGATACCTGATATTCATGATCATCATCTCCATGTGTCTCTGAATGTCTTACGTTAGTCACAATAATTTTAAGAGCCCTGTGTGAGAGCAGCCGGTCTCCTCTCTCCACACCTCAAAAAAATGAGGTTTTTTTGTGTGTGGTGAGTACAGAGCATTCATTTAGCTCAGCCTACACTAGGGGTCTGTCATGGAGATACCCCACTCTCTCATTGGCTCTCAGTACATTTGCACATGAGAATCAACTAAGGTGTGTTTAAGAAATGAGTCCCAGGGCAAGTTAGGGTTAAGTAGGCAGCTTCAGGGGCAGTGCAGGCAGGGACTTTGGGAGAGTTAAGGGAGGCCTCTGAGATAAGGACAGAGAAATTCAGGAGGGCTAATGTGGGCAGTAAACAGTAAATTTTAGGAGACCTTGGACGGGGGAGGTAAAAAGAGAAACTCTTAAGATAAGAGTCAGGAAAACTGACACATCTGCCTGAAGGAGTATAGCCACTAGGAAAAAGAGCCAATCACAGAGTAGGATAATGAGATTTTAGAATAGAGAAAAAAAAAGGTTTAAATATCCATAGACACAGGCCCACAAGGACTTTCTTGCTCCTCCCAAGTACAACATACTTATAGGGCTGGCATCATCAGGGAAACATGAATTAAGCCAAATAGAGACAGTCCCATCCAGATAGCTAAAACAATAAGACAGGAAAGGTCAAGTGCAGGCAAAAATATAGAACACCTGGAACTCTGCTCCACTACTGTGGGGGTGTACACTATTTTAGAAAATAAACTATTTTAGAAAATCATTTGCGGAATCTTCTAAAGCTAGACATAAACTTAACTTATACCCCACAGTTCTCCTGGGTATAGCTCTAAAATGCACACAATGTCCATAAAAGACATTGGTGGGAAAGTCCATCTACTCGTGGTTGCCACACACTGGAAACAATTCAAAAGTCCAGCAGCAACAGAGTGAAGAGATACTCACATACAGTGAATACCACACTCCAGAACAAATCAGCAAACTGCAGCAATATAGCATATGTGGACCTCAGAGGTAAAATGTTGAGCAAAAGAGGCTAGAAACAAAATGTTACAGACTGTGTCTCCATTCATGTGACGTTTAAAGAGAGGCACAAATGAACCCGTGGTCCGCTCAGGTCTTCTCAACCGAAGCTACTGTTTACCTTTGGTAAGGTCTGGGCACTAGGGCAGGCACGGGGATGTTTCTGGGGTGCTGCTGATACTCTATGCATTCCTTGACCTGGGGAGTGGTTCTGAGGCATCTTCACTTAGCATAATCCAACCAAGCGTTCACATACGATCTGTGCATACATGTACATGTTGAATCATAATGAAAGCATAACTTTTCAAAAATGTGTTCTAGATCATTATCTGCAGCAAAGCCCAGATCATGCCTGACCTGGAGAGGAGATGAAGGCGCCACCTAAGCGCATGCCCACTGTGAGCCTACCTGAAGGCATCTGGGCTATGTGCTTGAACGTCAGGAACAAGTTCTTTCGGCACTCTGACTGGCTGTCGTTCAGCAGGAAGGACAGAGCAGGGATGATGTCGTGCTTTAAAATGCCATCTCTGGGGAAGAGAAATCAGATTTAGACACAGCAAAGGTCATGCCCTGCGGATCCACTCAGAGCCAAGAAGCAGTTGCCCGCAACATCCCCCACCCCTGAGTCTGCCCATGCTGGCTGGCACAGACCACATTCTCTGGCTTCCTCAGAGAAGACAAAGGCCAGAGAGCACATTACAGAATCCCTGGAGCCTATGACAGCCGTGTGGCTTGTGGGCAAGTGGAAGGAGCCACACGCCAAAATCACAGAGCTCTGTCCTTCCTAGTTGTCCCCTCCACTCTGGCTCCTTATGCCCCTGGGTGCTTTGCTTCATGTTTCTGAGCCTCAGCTATCCCGTCTGTAAAGTGGGAATGAGGCAACAGAAGCTTGCAGTCAATCTCCCCTATAAAGATGTGCCCTGAACTGCCAGGTTCAGCTAGCTGCCTGTCTGCAATGCGTTCCCACAGCAGGTACATCTGCTGCTGCTCCAGGCCAGTCCCTCGCAGCCCCTCCCCCTTCTCCCAGCTGAGCAGCCAGCTTGCCAGCAGCCAGCTAGCGGCTTGCCTCCAAACCTATGTGTGTCTGTAATGCTTGTTGTTATAATTATACAAGTTAATTAAATATTAGGTAAGCCAATTAGATCGGAGAAGAGTTTTGTTTTTTTTTAATTTCCTCATGAAAACAAAGTTGATTGAATGCTGTGGGAAGACTCAAAAGTGAGTCTCTGGGGGAAAAAAGAGATGATCTGAAAAGATACTAGAATGTTTTTGCATGTAGATTACTTCATTCATGTCTGAGATCTTGCTCTACTTTAAAGAGACCAAAGATGCAAATGAATGATGTTATAGGTGCAGCTTAAGCAAAAAAGATGACAGGAAAAGCCAACCAGTGGGCCCATATCCAAGAAAAGGCCTGAGTTGCCCACGGGGATTGGTAAATGTTTAATCATTTGTGTTTTGGATAAAAATGAACTGTTTAAAGGAAACATACAATTTATCAAAGATTCCTGGCTTTTTAACCACTTATTTTGATTAGACAAGCATCTGCTGGGCTCAGTTGCCTTTGGTGAGAAGGCTTCTTAGCTCACATCTCCCAGGGCTGGATTCAGACATAAGTGAGAAGCCGGTGTGAACCCTCAGCCCAATGCCTCACATACAGGAAGTGCCCTACCGATTGTGTTCTGCCACAAAGGCCAGGACTTGACTTGATGGTTAAGTGGTTTTTTGTTTGATTGTTTGTTTGTTTGTTTAAATTTAAAGATTTATTTATGCATACAAGAACTGGGGTACAGATCAGAGGTACGGGTGGTGAGAGGATTAACCAGAGACAGAGTAGGGAACAGGACAGACAGACTGACTGAAATACACTGCTGAGGGGAGCAGTCGGCGAGCAAGACCATGTGGGTAGCTCCCTGGCCAGCTGGGGATGGAACTCGTGCTGCAGAGGCTGTGGATAGCTTCACAGTGCTGTGCTTATCCCTTTGCACCACTAGGGAGGCCCTGATGGTAAGTTCTGAGTCACTCTGGGAGAAGAAATTCACCCTGGGACACCCACATTACAGGGACCTCCCATCCCCTCGGTGTGAGTGTTCAGGCCTCTTCCCTCTGTGTCTGGTCACCCACTCAATATTCACCCCTGCTTTGAAAGTTGACTGTTTTCTTGGGCAGTCCTGTGAACTAATTCTTCAAGGTGAGAAGATGCTCCCTTCAACCCAATTTCCTGTTACTACTTGTGTGGGTATGAGGCCAGAAGGATTTCAGTGTGGGCAGTATCAGCGCTTGACTTGAGAGACACTGGCTTTAGTTACATATGAGATCACCACTTCATTCTAGGGAATTGGAAGTTCGCTAATGGACACTCTTGGCCCTTTGCATTCCTTGTCCCACTTTGGAGGAGAGAGCCAGGGCGTGTAAGCTGCCTCCCTTGGGTCTCCTCCCTGTGCCTTGAAGTAACAGAGTAAGGGATGTGAGGCCACGGTCAGTGACAGTTTCTTTGGTTTCTTCACCATATCCCACCATGTTGATGGGACCACAGCCAGGAACTCTACTCCCCCACCCAGGAACTGCTAGTGCTCTGAAATAAATGCATCATCACCCTCCCTAGGCTTAGTTTTGTGATAATTGCCCAGGCTTCAAGCATCTCTCCTCTCAGCCTCTGTTACCTAATCTCCATATCACATCCAGAAAAGAAACAAAAGGAGCAGGAAGAATGAGGGGTCCTTTGTTCTTCTGGACGCCTAAGACATTGGCGCACTTTCCCTGCATCTGTGTCAATAAGTGAAGTAAGACTGTGTCAAGTGTCTTGCCAGGTCACCGAGCAGGAAAGGTTAGGGCCCCTAGGCTGGGGCTGGTGTCTTGCCCACTTGTCTCAGTGCAAAGCATGTGAATTGCACTGCCACTCGCACCCCATTTATAGGGACCCACAGGGTTGGGTTTGCATTCTGGATCAGGCTGGTCATACTCTTTCCCAGGGACCTGAAATTAGAACCCAGAGAGGAGAGAGAGGGAGGTCAAGGGGAAGAAGGTGGGCCTCTGGAGATGGCCCTGAGCAAGAGGGTGGTCTGTGGGGAGAGGGAGGCAGCAGTTACCAGAGGAACACCCAGAGAGGCCTGGCTGCCAACCACCACCCAGGCTGACATGGGGCAGATGTTTCCCAGGTGGTGCAGGGCTGAGCACCTTATATGCATTAACTCATTTGACTCCCTACCCCAGGAGCAGTTTGGTTGAAGACGATGGAGCATTGAGAACTTGGAGAGAAGCAGGGCCAAGTAACATTGGGTTCTGTGAGGTACTCTGGCCCCTTTGAAAGGTTCTGTTATTTCTGTCAAATAAGCTTGGAAACAGTGGCCCCTTTTCTCTGTCATCTTTTCTCTTCCCTCCTCCTTTCTGGGGACATGTGCACTGAGCGATGCATGCTGGACAGTGGTCCCAGGCAGGGCTTGAGGCGTGTTTGTAATTTCGGGTTCTATTTTCAACACAATGTGTGATCCCAGGCAAAGAGGGTAAACTGAACTGATGTGGGAGAGCATCGCCATCCTCTCCCTCAGATCCCCTACACACACACACACACACACATTCCTAAACAAAGTGCAAGATGAACAATTTAAGTATAAAATGTGAAGATGGGGCCTCCCTGGTGGCGCAAGGGGTTAAGCACCGCACTATGAAGCAATCTGCAACCTCTGCAGCATGAGTTTGATCCCTGGCCAGCCAGAGAGCAACCCACATGGCAAGGCAGACTCTCCAGTCTCGCCCACTGCTCCCCTCAGCAGTGTATTTCAGTCGGTCTGCCTGTTCTGTTCCTCACTCTGTCTCTGGTGAATCCTCTCAACCCCCACATCTCTGGCCTGTACCCCAGCTCTTGTATGCATAAATATATAAATCTTTTAAAATAATAATAACAAATAAATAAATAAAAATGTGAAGATGTGTTTATGAAACAAAGGGGCATTTTCAGGTACCAGAAACCTAGAGCCTAGTGTTACCAGCAGGGATTGAAGCTACCAGCCCAAACTTGGTATGCAGTTTGAGGCAACACCTGCATGGAAATGGGAGCCAGAATGCCAGCCTGTTGGAGTCTAGGAGGGGAAACCGAGGAAATTGTTGCATGTGTGGGGCCTGAATGTTTCACCTTCAAAGAGGGAAGCTTAGAGCTAGACACTAACTAACATAAAAACTGATCTGGAGAAGAGGATCCCACCACAGGGGCAACACAAACCACCCCCACAGAGATCTGTTCTGGCCAACAGAACTCCCTCAGAAGACCAGTGCTACAGATAAAAATTGGTCATTTTAAGGGCATGCCACCTAGGGGAAAGATGTGACTCCAAAGTGTGACATTGGTTTCCAGAGACAGCTGCCCACCTGCCCACGTTGTGGGTCGCCATGATGTGGAGCACCTCAGTGGCCTTTATCCGCACCATATTGTTGGTATCATTCAGCAAATCTTTCAGGCTCACCAGGCAGCCTATGAGGCAGAAAAACTTTTGAATGTTGAGTAGTCTCAGAAAACAACCAACCCAAGTAGTCAACTGGTAAGCCTACATCAAGCAATGAGGATACCTGGGGTTCTGCTTTGGAGTGTGGGGGAAATCATGTTGGTTGCAAAGCATTTCAGAGTCACTGAAAGGGATTCTGTGCGCTAGAAATGTTCACATCAGGGACCGTTTTATCCAATACTCATACATCTCATGCATACTTCCTACCTTCTCTCAAAGCAGGCCACAGTGTTAAGAAAATGGTCTTGTGACCTCCCTAGTGGACTAGGTGTTAAGTCTTAGTACTATCACCGTTATGGTCTGAGTTTGATTCCAGGCCAGGCAGCCAACCCACATATGATGCAGCAGACCTCTCAGACCTGTCTTATCCATTGCTCCCCTTATCAGTGTATTTCAATAACATCTCCCTGTTCTGTTCCCCACTCTGTCTCTGGTGAATCTTCTCACCCAGGCACCTCTGGCCTATACCTCAGTTCTATGCAAAAAGAAAAAAAGTTAAGAAAAAATGGGGTTGGCATTAAAAAGACCAGGGGTCAAATTCTAATCTTGTCCCAAACTAGTTGTGTATCCTTAAATGGGTTATACCTAGGAATGCCAGACAGACCAAATAAAAGTCCTATTTTATTTTTTTACTGGGCAGTCCTAGCCTACCCTCATCCCCCTTCTCTGAACCTTGGTTTTCTTATCTGTTGGTTGAAGATGCTCCTTCCCTCCCAGGGCGGATGCTGTAAGATAACATGGGCCCTGTACATGGGGTGATGCTGGCCAGGAACCAGGCTCATTAAGTTGCAACCCTTTATTACTGAAACTCCACCCAGTGGAGTTTCCACCCAAGGCCATGCTAGGACCACATCCTCCTCTGAAATTAAGCCAGCCCTTCAGAAAAGGCCAGAGGGAGAAGTAGGACTCCTCGTGTGTCTAATCTCTGGGAAAGGTGTGACATATGCCACTAGAATCACCTCAACTCTTATTTTGGTAATTAGGAGAGTGGGAAACAAGGGATGTAGGCCCCAAATATATGTGCGGTTTCAGCAGGATGCCTGCCAATCCTTCGTGACAGTCGGGAATGAAACAGGTAAATAGGGCTGTTTGGTGGATTTGTGATTAAGCCAGAGCAGGAGGCTGATGTATGGCTCTGGGTCAGCCACTGGTGATGTCCAGACAAACTGATTGACTGGCCAACAGAGAGGGGTACTATGAAGAGGCCCTGGTCACTGCAGCTCCTCCCCACTTGAACTTCTCTGACTGTCATCCAGATTCCAGTTGTGGTCACTTGGGCTGGGTCACTCTCACCTATGTTGATGGCCTCGTGGACATGCTCAGGGTCATGCATGAGGTCACACAGAGCCACGAGGGCCTTCAGCCTTGTCAGCAGCACCTCCGACTGCAGCTCCTCGTTCAGCTTGGGCAGGGCTCGACAGCCATAGGCAATGGCAGCCTTAGTGGGGTCAATATCAGGGGGCTGGTACATGGAGATCCGGGCATGAGCCATCTTTCCACATCTGCAGTGGGTAACTCTCCAACTTTCACAATGGAGTTCTGCAGAAACCTGATTCAAAGAACCCCAAAAATTAACATTATTACTATGATATAATTTACACGTTACTTCTCATGTGATTCTCAAAATTGTGAGTCCAGCTGGAAGGACATTTTTACACAGAAGCAAACAGAGCCTGAGAGAAATGAGGGACTTATTCAAAGTCTCAGTGAAGGTGAGCAGTGACCTCATAGCAAACTCTGTGTTTTACAGAGCGGGTAAGACTGGTCGCCAATGTTCAAATCTGAGTCTAGTCCTATCAGAGACCCATATTCAGACGTTTCAGACATACCCCCCCTCCCAAAGGAATTAAGGTTAAAGTGTCATTTGTTTTATCACACACACACATGCTGAGAAACTATAGACTGGCTTAGTAGTTCAGAACCACCTCCAGTCCCAGACCATGGATGGCCCTTGAAAAGAGACCCTTGACTTCCTTTATCAGCCTCTTGCTGCAGCTGCGAAATGGAGATGATAATAGCATCTCCCTCCCTGCCTCCCTTCCTCCCTCCCAGTGTTGTCCGATTAACTGATATTCAGCACACCAGGGCTCCAGATACAGTGACTGTGTTACTGTGTCAGTAGTGGCAGCGGTGGCAGTGGTAGTAAACTGCATTCAGTAGCACTGACAAGCCCCAGCATTGGAGGAGTCTACTCTAGTGAAAGAGTTGAGCTAACTCTGACCCGGGGCACCAGCTGTCAAGGGAAGGCCAAGAACAGTCCAGTTTGAGGGACACGGCCATTTTGGACCTGGGCTCCCCTCACAGGGCACAGCGGGCGCTGGGCCTGCCCACCTCCCGGACATAGCTGAGGAATTTCGGCCTCTGACGAGAAAGCCTGTGGGGTGAGCAGGACTGGGCAGGTGTGAGGGCCCCTCCGCTCTGTCCCCGCGCCCCAGTCCAGCACCAGCTGCCTCACCTGCCTCAGCGGATACAATCTCCGTAGAGCTGGGCAGTTGCCAGGCGACCAGGTTGCCAGGCGACCCCGACGGCGTCGCTGCGCGGAGCTGTGCACTGTCGGCACCTATCACGCAGGCGCGAAGAACTCCGGGCCCGGGGCGGGCGGAAAAGTAGGGACAAAGATATTTTACAGTAAGGAACAAAGGCGACTAGGTTTCATTCATGGTACAGAAGGGAAGGGAAGGGAAGGGTAGGGAAAATTTTGTATGCCTTTAGTCCTCGGAGTAAACCCGTGAGGTGATAACGTTATCCATTTCCAAACAAGAACCTCAGAGATGTTGAGTATCTTTCCCAAAATCACACAGCCCAGATCCCAGGACAGCTAGCTCAGGTCTGTATTCCTTGCCCTGGAGGCTGTCTGTCTGGTAACAACACAGAAAGTCCCCTGCGGTGGATTCAGCACACTACTGGCCAGATCAATTTAAAAAAAAAAATTATTGAAGTAACATTGATTTATTCTTTTATATTATTTTTTATTTTTTTTACATCATTGTTCATTTTAAAACAATACTTGCTTCTCCCCACCCCCTCAGGTGTAGTCCCCATAGAGTCTCCTTCACCAATGCACCCGTGCACCATCACCACAGTCCCCTGTGCTCCTCCCTCCCTCCCTCACATCCCTCTCCCTGCTCCTGCCCTGCAAGATGTCTCTGATTTATAATTGTCTGGTTTTGTTTTGTTGTGTTTTGTACTGTTGTTTTTTTACACTGATGTCTTATTTGGTTCCCCTGTATTCCTGCTATAAGTGAAACCATCCGATATTTTTCTTTTTCCTGCTGGCTTATTTCACTGAGCATCATTCCTTCTAGTTCCATCCACATTGCTGCAAATGGCATGAGTTTATCTTTTTCGATTGCTGAATAATATTCCATTGTGTATATACACCCCATCTTCTTGATCCAGTCATCTATTTTTGGGCATTTGGGTTGGAAGTAACATTGATTTATAACCTTATATAGGTGTCAGGTGTATAGCATTATAAATCAACATCAGTTTGTACTAGGTTAGGTTCACTAACCAAAGTCTAATTTCCACAATTGACCCCTTTTACTCTACTCGATCCTCTTCCCATTTCACTTCTAGTTGTCACTATTTTGTTCTCTTAGTCTGTTTGTTTTGGGAGTAATTACTATTGAAAGCCAGCCAGACCCGGGCACCACCTGCACAAAACCTTCTTATGGCTCCAGTTTATCAGGACAGAGTTTGTATTCTTAGTCCGCACTCAAAGCATACTAATCGCTTTCTCTTCCCTTTCTCTCTTCCCTGCTAGACCATTCCATCTTTCAGAATTAGAACAAACCAGACAATAAGATCATTCCTCATCAGGCACATGACAGGTTAGAGCTGGAAGGAACTTCTCCCTATATCTAATTCAACCCCTAATTTCCTAGACATTCAGTAGATGTATCTAATCAAGAAAGATGCAAATTATGTGAGAACACCTATACATATTATCCCAAAGAATCATATATTAAAGAAAAAAATTACCTTAATAAACATTTGGTAAATGTAAAAAAAATGGGGTAAACTTTACTTGTTATCCTTGTGTAGAGACCATGTCAATCCTCTCTGTGTTGTTTTAATTTTAACATACACGCTGCCAAGAAATTTCCAGAATATTTTTAAATGAATAGAAAATGCAAATGTGCATCACATATTGTAAAGGTATTGTATTGTGAGACTTCTGTGTTAGTTAATATATGTATGCATATGTGTTGGTTGTGATATAAACTTTATTTCATATGGTGGATGCATTAACAAGTGTTGAAAATCACTGGAAGTGGAAATCTCACTAGAAAGTGGATTCAAATATGTGGTTCTAGTCATTGTTCTGTCAATGACCACCTGCATGAACCTGGCCAAGGAACTTAGCCCCTCAGGGTCTCCATTTTCTTATCTTCATTTTATTCTTTTAGATAGTCTATTTTTTATTTTTTGCCTTGCCACTATCCCTTATATCTCTGCAACACTTTCCCCTTCCTGCCTACCTCTTAACCTCAGACACCACACTTCATCTATTAATGTCAACTAATTTTTATAACTGTCAAGTTTTCTGCTGTGTAAATGTCCGATATTTTCTTTTCTGATTTACATTTTCTGATTTATATTTTCTGATTTACAGCACATAATTTCCTCAAACTCCTTTCATTTTTTCTGTACGTGGCAGCATTTCATCACTTCTTATGGCTGAACAGTATTCCATAGTGTAGATATACCATATCTTCTTGACTCAATCCTCTATCAGTGGAAACTTAGATTGTTTCCATATCCTAGCTGTTGTAAATAATGCTGCAATAAATATTATAGAGCATATAGATTTTTGAGTTGACGGTTTCATGTTCTTTAGATAAATGCCCAAGAAGGGGATCTGGCTGGTTCACACTGTATTTCCATATTTTGTTTTTTAAGGTAAATCCATGTGCTTTCCATAATAGCTGCACCAGTTTACATTCCCTCCAACAGTGTAGCAGGTAGGATTCCTCATTCTTCACATCCTCTCCAGCACTTGTTTTTGGGGGGTCTTTTTAACATGTGCCATTCTCACACGTGTGGTTTTATTTTTTTTTAAGATTTGTTTATTTATGCATAAAAGAGCTAGGGTGTGCCAGAGGTGCGGGGGGGCAGGGAGTGGGGGTAAGAGGATTCACCAGAGACAGAGCCGGGAGCAGGACAGGCAGATAGATGTATGGAAATACACTGCTGAGGGGAGCAGCGGGTGAGACAGGAGAAGTCTGCTACGTCATATGGGTAGCCCATGGCGGGGATCGAACTTGTGCTGCAGAGGCTGCCAATAGCTTCATAATGCTGAGACTTAACCCCTTGTGCCACCAGGGAGGCTGCCTTATTGTGGTTTTAACTTGCATTTCTCTTATTGGGAGTGATGATGAACATTTTCCCAGGTGTCTAGTGGCCATCTGGAGGTTCTCTTTGGTGAATTGTCTATTTAGATCTGCTGCCTATTTCTTAATTGGGTTTTGTTTTTCTATTGTTGAATTCTCCAACTTTTTATGTATCTCAGATATTTACTCCTTTTCAGTTTTGTAATATGTAAATATTTTCTCCTATTCAGTGGGATGTCTTCTTAGTCTATTTACATTTTCTTTCATTATGTAAAAGCTCTTAAATTCGAGGTATCCCAATTGTTTGTTTTTGTTTTTATTGCCCTTGTCATAAGGGCTAAACCTCTAAAAACATCTTTATCATTGATGCCATGGAAAAATATTGCAAATATTTTCTTCTATGCATTTAATTGTTGCATGTTTTATATCTAGATCTTGCATTTATCTTTGAAGTCATTTTTGTGCATGGAGCAAGTGAGTGATACAACTTCATTCTTTTACATGTGTCCATTCAGTTTCCCCAGCACCATTTATTAAAGAGGTGCTTTTCCCCATTGTGTAGTCCTGGCTGCTTTATCATAAATTAAGTATAGATTTATTCCAAGGTTTTCAATTCTGTTCCATGGGTCCATGTGTCTATTTTTTATACCATTGCCATATTGTTTTTAGTACTGTTGCTTTATAGCGTGAAGTCAAGTAAAGTGACACCTTTGTTTCTTATCTGTGATTGTGGAGAGGAAGAGATGAGTGTGGGAAAGACTTCAGGGAGGGATGAACACTGAAATACATCAGATCTGACCTGGGAGGTCCAGACATGGTAGAGCTCTCCATGCTCCAAATTGTTTCTTTTCATTTGAATTATTTATTGACTAGGCAATGTATGCACATAAAGGAACATCCAAGAAGTATGAAAGTAAAATATCTCCTCACTTCCCCAGCCAAAATGGGTTGTTCTCATCTGTGCCAACCACAGGCATCTTTCCAAAGATAGGCTAAACTTACAAGAAAATCCAATTCATTTCCCTTTTAATATAGTGGCAGCATCCCTCACGGTTCCCCATCTTCTTTTTAAAAATTGAGTATTTGTTTATTCACTTAACATTGACTAACTGCCTGCTTAGTTGATGCAGCACATAGATGAACAATGAACTAAACACAAAAGGCTTGCTGTCATTGGTCTCAGAGGAAGGAGAGAGACAATACATATAAACAATGTTATATATTATGTGAGAATATAGTTAAGTGTCTGGAAGAATCAAAGCAGAAACAAGGGTTGGGAGGATGCTGCAGTGTAAATCGGGTGCCTAGAGGAGGCCTCATCTGGAGATGACATCTGAGCAAACTCGAAGGAGAGGATCAATGTGGATATCTGGTGCAAGAGCAGTCCAGGTTTAGGTAACAGTCAGTGCAAATACACCAGTGCCTGGCATGCTGGAGCAACAGCAAGGAGGCAAGTGGAGCATAAGTAGAATGGAGGGAAGAAGTGGGAGAGTAGTTGGTGATGAGAGAAAATGGGGCTGGGGCAAACCATATGGAATTCTTGGGCCACTTGTAAAGATTTTATTTCTGAGAGATATGAGGAGCATTGGAGAGTTTGGAGGCGGGGATTGACATGATCTGATTGACGTGTGTTTTAACAGAAGGAATCCCTGTTAAACTGGGAATCAGATAGGGGTGAGGGTGAAAACTGGGAGACCAATTAAGGAGAGTAAAAAGACGATTGTTTGGACCAGGGTGATACCAATGGAAGAGGGAGGGAGACGATAGCGGACCAATTTTCAGGGTAGAACATACAGGATTTACTGATAGATCCATTACAGGGTGTACAGAAAAGAGTGAAAGGCTGTTGGAGATCACTTCATGCTATATTATACTAAAAAAAAACACGAACTATTCAGATAATCGGAAAACATTTACTGTATGATGAAACTAAGTACTTAAACACTTCACATAATCTCTACCACCCTTTGCGCCACCAATCCTCCCAGTCATGGTGATCATAGAAGATGCTGCGCCAGTGTAAGGGCAGCCTTTACTCAGACCCTGCCCAAGACAGAAAGGCTCCACCCCCAAACTGCTTGGCCCCGCCCACCGACCGCCTAGCCCGGCCTAGTTGCCATGGTGATCAATGGAGCGGGGGCTGCGTCCTGGGAGCTGCCTAGTCCGGAGTCTGCCACTCCCGCGAGGCTCTGGTTGCTATGGTGATCGCTGTGGGGCTGGCCGCCCTTGAGACGCTTTCCTCGGTCAGGTCCGCCCAGACCCCGCCCCCAACGATCCTGATTGGACAGATGCCGGCAGTTCCCGCGTGGCCCTCGTTGCCGTGGTGATCGCCGCCCAGGGTACCGGGGATCTAGGCCGCGCGGAGCCTGGAGCTTCTGCAGCCGCCGTGGGTGAGTCCGCCGCTCCCTCTGTCCCACCCTCCGCCCACCCCAGTGCGGGCACGACCCGGAACCCGGGGGCGGGAGTGCGCCGCGTTCCCCTCCCACCTCCCACTCACCGCCATGACCTGACGCTGTGACTCTGTGCCTCATATCCTGAGCTCCTGCCCTAGACCAGGCTGGTTCTGGTCCTGGAGGAGACTCAGGTTGTCCTCCCCATTTGAACCCTAGGGTCCCCAGCCTACCCAGAGCCTTCATCCCTTACAGACTAGAAACTGGGGACCCCTCCCCCCTCTACTTCCACCTTTCTATTCACCTCGCCCCTTCATGAGGCACAACCTAGCCTATGTGCCAGGCCTCACGCCTCATACCCTAGTGATAAGCGCAGAGAGGGGTTTTGCCTGGTTGGAAAACCAAAAGAAGGAGACCCGGAACTTCCTGACTCTCGGGCAGGCCTGTTTCCCTTCTCCACACCCCAATACTACCTGCAGATTGAGGGACATGACCTGACTTCCCATGTCCAGATGACCTCTGGATGATATGCCTGAGAGAAACGGAGGCTTGGATCTGGTTTTAAAACTGCTGAAAGGTTAAGCATAAACTTGCAGGTGAGTCCCCAGGGATTTGCAGACTCCCTAACTCTCTTTCCCCTGGTTGGGTCCACAGGACTCTGGAAGGATGAGGTCCACCCTGACGCCTTTGGGGCCCCCTGTGAGCCGGGACCGCATCATCGCCAGTTTCCCTAAGGTAGAGAGTCTCTTAGGTCAGCTCCTTCTGGGTGCACTGAGCTCCTGACATTCAGCTTTCTACATTCAGCTTCCCCCCTCTCCCACCCCACTCACCAGAACAAAGCAGGTGAAAGGGGGAGGTCAGTCCTTGCTGACAGGCCCCTGGGACTTATCACATTTCCTGAGAAGCTGGGAGAGTTGGCATTGACATACCCAAGGTGGGTCAGCAAATTAAGGAGGCAGTGAGGCATAGAGCTTAAGGACATGTACTCAGTCCCAAGTGAAGGCTGACCCTGTCATTAATGGGCAACCTCTCAGAGCTGCTGATTCATAATTCCTCTTACATAAAGTGCATAGCTCATGGTAAGTAGTAGTTCCCATGTAGCCAGGCTTGCTGCTGTATGCATTATTACTATGTTTATCAAAACAGCACTTTAGTTTCCTGACGCCAAATTCAGGGTTCTCCCCCTTTACCCTTCAGCCTTTAGTTTCTGCTGAAAACTCACAGTTCTCTGCCATCTGTAGTAAAATCCAATTTTAATTGCATCTAGTAATTCATCTCGGTACAGCCTCTCTAAGAGACAGTGGGACAATATTCCCCATCATTGCAGAAGCCCCACCATCTAATGCAACCATTCAAGGTCAGACAATGGGGTAGTTTGTAAAGCAGAAGGTCAGACACAATGTATGTAAGTGTCCTCCTGGAGGGAACTACTTAGCAAACTACTACTTCCTAACCCAGATGCAAGGAAAGATGAGGCACCTTTTCAGGTGCTGATGTGCCATGAGAGCTAAAGTAAATTAAGTGAAAATGCAAGGAATGGAGAATTGTGTGTTGCAGCCTCCTATGTGTGAAAAAAAGGAGAGGGGAGAAAAGAAACAAGCGACTGTTTACAGTGCATTAGGCATCTCTGGAAGGAGGCATAAAATCCTTGTGGCTTGAGACAGGCATGGAGGGAGACCTTCTCCATGGAGTGGCCTTTTGTCTGTGCTCCAGTCAGTGAGAAGGAAGAAGGTGACAGTAGGCTGTGGGTATTTGGGGGCTACAATCGTTCCTCCTCCCTCTTTTCTGCCTCCTCTCCTCCATGCACCCACACAGAAATCATAAGTGCCTCAGACCCACAGACAATTCCTCCAGGGTTTTCAGTCTCAGCTGAGACCCAGGCAGTTGCTTTAGAGTGTGACAGTAGTAGCAGGGATGACAGAGACTATTATTTAATGAGCCCAAAGGAAGGGAAGTGTGATTGTCACAATGCAGTCCAGGTCTCAAGGGTTGAAAGACCCCATTTACAGAGCAGGACAACTAATCTCAGAAAGGTCAGGCAGGCTGTGAATGTCACCACAGCTGGGTGTGGTAGAGCAGGGACTTGACCCAGGTGTAGTGACTCCAGACCTCCTATTTTCCTCTTTCCCAGGAGGCAGCCTGGGCATCCCTCCTGTTTTCAAACAGGGTGAGATTCTCCCCCTCTTACCTGTGCAGTCAGGGGTCACAGGCCACTGCTGGCCAAGTTCATGCTGCACTCCAGGGCCACACAACTTCAGACCTGAGAAGTTGACAGTCAGGTGGGGCACATCCTACCCCCAACTCCATGTCCTTCAATTCCTCTGTCTCTAAAATCAGCTTACACATCCAACCCAACCTTCCTTATTACACTTCGAATTTGTTCAAAACAGTGGAATTCCTCTATTCACCACTCTCTAGACAGCCCCCAGCTTGAAGCTGATGTGGAAGTCAACAGGAAAAAGCAGCCATCCCTCTCATGGGGTAGCTGAACTTTCCCTGTGAATGTGGGCTGCTGGGTGGTGAAGCAGTTACCTGCATTATCCATTTAATCCTCCAGTGAAGCATAAACAGCTGCTGTTATGACTGTCCCAACTTTATAGATGAGGAAACTGAGGTCCAGTGAATTTCATGACTTGCCTGTTTGCAAAGCTCTTTCCACTATCCCTGCTGCCTCAGTCTCCCAGCAGCTGAGAGAACAGATGGGCCAGAGCAGAGTCCATGTCAGTGCCTGAGAAGAAACACTAGGGTAAGGGATAGGGCCTCCGTCCTTGCTGCAGTGCAGCTGAGGTCCCCACGGTGTGCTGAAGGACAGTGCCAGTGGCTCAGGGGACCACTGTCATATCCTTCAGAGCACTCCAGCCGTCTCCACCTATGCCCTTCTCCCCACATGCTTGCGATGGTCCATACTTAGCCTTCGCCAACATGATAGCAGAATGTATGGACATCTTAAGTGTTTAATGTCACTTTTTCTAATTATTAACAAATATGTATTCAGTGTGTGTTATGGCATTATTGAGCTTAGTGTGTGCCAGGTTAGCTCTGTGCTGATAGCTTTACAAACGGGGTCTCATTTTATCCTCCCAAGTCTCTGAGGTTTTTTTTTTTAAAGATTTATTTATTTATACAAGAACTGGGGTACAGGCCAGAGGTGCGGAGGGTGAGAGAATTCACCAGAGGAAGAGCAGGGAGCAGAGCAGGCAGACGACTGAAACACTACTGAGGGGAGCAGCGGGTGAGACAGGAGAGGTTTGCCACAACATGTGGGTATCTCCCTGGCCGACCAGGAATCGAGCCTGCACTGTAGAGGCTGAGGACAGCTTCACAGCGCTGCACTCAACCCACTGCGCCACCAGGGAGGCCCGTCTCTGAGGTTTTATAGAGGGGGAAATTAAAGTTCAGAGACATTAGGCCACTGCCCATGGTCACACAGTGACCATGAGTGGACACAGATCTTCCTGATCCTAAAGTTCCATCTTTTAAATCACTGCCCATCTGTATCTTCCAGGAAAAGGGGCAGTGACTTCCAGGACATTTTCCATGTACATATGTGCATACTTTTTAAACAAAAATGGCATCAGAGATCATTAAGAGGTATGGAAGGATCTTGGAGTTAATAGGAAACTTCCAGTCCATCCCTTGTCTCGCCAGGAGGCCCAGAGAGAACAGAGTCCTGCCACACACTCACAGAGGGAACGCCTGTTCCCATCTAGAGAGACCTGGGGTCTGGCCTTTCCTGCCGACTTACCTCTGCTGTTCCTCCTTGGGACTCACAGTCCACTGGAGTCCCAAGACCTCTGACAAGCTCAGGGACAGATGTGACAGAAGAATCAGGGAAAGCTAAGGCACCTGCCAGCCTCATCTGGCAGTGGAGGACAGGAATGCTGGCAAGTAAGTCACCGCCTAGCTGCCTGCTCAGTGATGGAGCCACAGCTCTGCAAGGTGTTCTGTCCACCTGTCTATGTGTCTGTCTCTTTCCAGTGGTACACACCTGCTGCCTGCCTGCAGCTCAAGGAGCACTTCCACGGCCAGGTCAGCACTGCCTGCCAGCGCAGGAACACGGGGACTGTTGGGTGAGCATCATCATTCCCGGGGGTGCAGGGTGTGGTAGGAGGCAGAAATGAGTGTGTGAGTGGACAAATGAAACACTGGAGCAATCCTACAGGCCTGGCCTGAAGGTGATTGGGAGTTTGATCTGCCTATACCTGGACACACATCTACCACATACAACAGCATTCCTTTCCCCAGCGAGTCGTGCACGTGAGTGCTTAGCCAGAAATCTCAGCACATGTCTGTTGCCTGTGCCTGCAGTGTGTTTCCTACTCTTCAGGTCTCATTATGTGTCAGGTCCCCTGGGGGCTACTCTGAGGCTCCCACAACTGTCTCCACCCAGCCTGGGCTGGGTGAGATATCTCTCCTGTGTCCAAACCACACTTATCTCATGGAATTGGGGGTTGGTCTGTCTGGAGTCCTTATTTGAGGGCCAACGCCATGTCTGCCCTGTCCCTGCCTCAGCTATACCTGGCCCTGCTGACATGGGGTCTTGTAACAGTCTGGTACAAGAGCCAGCTTTCGCCGCAGCCTGAGGACCTCCCAGCCAACTCAGGGGGTTGGGTGAGCTCACAGTTGTCACACAGGTGAGGGGAGGCCTTGACAGAGACCCAGGTCCCAGTTTGCCCAGCTCCCAAGGCAGCACAAAGTGAGGCAGGGCTCAAGTCAGAATGGTCAAAGCACCATGGTCTGGGGTGAATGGAATGGCCACTGGTTTGGGGAATACTGATTTTTTCAAGGTTTATTTATGTATGCGTACAAGAACTGGGGTGTAAGCCAGAGGTGCAGGTGGTAAGAGGATTCACCAGAGAGAGTGGGGAGCAGATCAGGTGATCTACTGAAATACACTGCTGAGGGCAGTGAAATACACTGCCATGTGGGTTGCCCCCTGGCTGGCCAGGGATCGAACTCCTGCTGCAGTGGCTGGGGATAGCCTGATAGCTCTGTCTTTAAACCCTGTGCCACCAAAGAGGCCTGGGAGTGCTGATTCTATACCTGGTGCTTCACACAGTTTCTCCATGACCCTTCTCTATACTGTGGGAAGTGGGGGAATTGGGCATAGATGATCCCCCATGACACCTCAGCAGTACCTTTTCTCCCTCATCTGAGAAGGAGAGTCAGGGATTCCTTGTCCCAGGATTAGGGGCTGCCTGGGAGCAGAGGAGACACAGCCCCTACCCCTGCAGACAAGGCTGGTGGGCTGCACTAGGTCCCTGGGTAACACAGTGCCTTGCTGTCTGCAGGTGGAGGATATTTAGCCAGGTTGGTGGCTTTCACTACCTGAGGTCCTTTGGCATGAGCTGCAGAAACCCTTAGGGAACACTACTACAGGACACACACAGTGAGCAGGATCCCCAGATAGCCCGGGAGCCACAGAACCAATACCACAAGCCACATCCCAGACATGTTCTTTCCATGACATGCCCCTTGGCCTTGCCTGGCCCTTACAGACATCTCCAGGGCACTGGTGACAATGGTGTCCCAGTCAGGGAGTGTCTGCTTACAAAGAACAAGGAGCAAAAGCCTGGGGCATAAGCTCTAGGGCTGGGTAGGAAGGTGAAGGGTTCTGCCCCTTGTGCCTGTGACCCCTACACATGGGCACTGTGTCTGTACCCTCAGTGTACTCCGGGTTCCTGGCTGCACCCCAGCTCGGGCGTGGCCTGACCTGGGGCTCCTCCCTTTGCTTCCTCAGCCTGCTTCTAATTCTTAGAAGCCTGCTTCTAATTCTTACAACAGAGACTTGGGTCCATTGGTATCAGGAGTACCACACCAGGGGTAGCGGGCCCCCAGAACAAATGCAGATTCTCTCACCCTTTCTTCGAGGGCCAGGGTGGGGCCAAGGGTATCAGCAGGTGGCACAACCCCTGTCCAGAATAGAAGGATGGCTTATGGGTGGGGATTACAGGAAAGGAAAGGCCTGTGTGTGTGAAGATGCTTTTGTGACCATGCTTGAGAGTAATTTGCACATATTCCTGACAGGCTCAAACTCTCCAAGGTGGTTGTCCTCGGCGATCTGTATGTGGGCAAGACCAGCCTCATTCACAGGTACCTCGGCCACACCTCCCCACACCAAGTTGCTACTCCTTTGCCTGAGGTAGCAATGTGTCCAAGCTGTGTAACTATTGGGAACGACACCTTGGAGGAGGTGCAAGACACTGGGGGAGATGGCAGGGTCAGGTTGAGAGTCGGCATCCCAGGATGTTGGCGTTTGGCATACCTTCCCCCGGGAGCCATGGGCTCACACCAAACCATACTTCCTGCGAATGGACCCCCAGTTTCTCTTCACCATTCCTGACTGGCAGTGTTGGCTACGGCCTCCCTTCCCCACATGCTTCTTGTTGGGGCTCCCTCCAGCCTTGGTCTGGTTTCCTCTGAGAAAAAAATGCGAACTTTTTGTTGTATCCAGACTTTCACTGTTATGAATGAAGCTTTTGCACACAGCCTCTCTGATGACTTCCTTGGCTCCCACAGGTTTTGCAAGAATGTTTTTGACCGTGACTACAAGGCCACCATCGGGGTAGACTTTGAAATTGAGCGCTTTGAGATAGCTGGGATTCCCTACAGCCTCCAGATGTAAGTTGCCATGATGTCACCGTTTCCTGCATGACTTGTGGTGGACTTTGAGGAGACCCGTGAGGGAGGCCTTGGCTAGCTCTTTCTCAGCTGCCCTGTGGTGCTCAGTGGGGACCCATTTAGACAAGCTGGACCTGGGTGGCATTGTGAAGCTTGGTTTCTAGGTTCCAAGACCCTAGGTTCCAAGACCGCCTCTGCCCTGATGGGCGTTGAATGTTAGCTATTGAATGTGAGAAAGTCCTCACAGTCTTGAGTGCCCACCCACCCATGACCTCCCATGAGGCCTCTGCCTCCCCAAGCTCTGACTCTGTGCCCCGGCCCTTCCCCCACCAGGCCCTCTGTGATCCCACTTGCCAGGCCAGCATGGTTGCCTCTGGAAAGTCACCTCAGGCCTCTGAATCTCTGTTCCCATCTGGAAGACAGAGCTCTGATGGAGGCCACACAATCTACGTGCCTTCCTCAGGCCTGACACATTCTCCCTTTCACAAAAATGCTCTCTACTCCCCTACCCCCTCTCCCTCTATCTCCTTCCCTGCCAGACCCAATGCCTCTGCCTCTTTGTGGCCCACTGGCTTTAGGCTGTCCCTGTTTTCCTCCCCTGGCACTGAGAGGATGCTTTCAGCCTGCCCATGCTCTACAGCTCTGCCCTCTCCTGCCTGGGTCTTCTGCCTTCATGTTCTGCATGGCTACCCCTGCACCCCTTGCCCTTACCTGCTGACATTTACCAGGCCTCTGCCTTTGCCCCCTACTCTTTTCTCTCACCCTGGGTGTGTGAGCCCTCGAGTCTGCTGGTTCAGACCACTGCAGCTACTTAATCTGTCACCTTTCGTTTTCTCGCTCTCTCTCTGCTGGCACAGCTGGGATACAGCAGGACAGGAGAAGTTCAAGTGCATCGCATCCGCCTACTACCGAGGTGCCCAAGGTAAGTAGCCCGGTAATGGAAGTGGCCCTCAACCAGGTGCAGCAGGGAGCTCCCACTCTGGCGCTCAACAGCAAGAAGCCCTCTGCACCAAACCTGTCCTCAGGACCCGCTGAGGAGACACCTAGGCTGGTCCTCGGGCACAAGGAATCCACCTTCCAGCCAGGGCCTGAGCTAGCCCTGACTATCACATCCTAAATTTAGGGACCTGTGATGGTGCTCCTTATAAGTATCAACCCCATTTTCAGCCCAGGGAAATACTCAGGGAAGAGCTTGTCTAGAGACCCCAGAAAGGAACAGAATCAATTCCAGGGGGGTGGTGGGGGAGAGGTTGGACCAGAGTGGAGGGGAGGAGGTGGACCACAGGAGGACTGCCCTCCAGGCAAGACCTCCTAAATGACTCTCAGTAGTTTAGGCCCTCACCGAGCCCCCTTAGCTATAACTGGCACAGGGAGATTTGAACTCAGGAGCCCACAAATTCATCTTGCCTCCCTGTGTCCCCCCTATGCCTAGGGTCAGAAAGGGGCAGCCATGGGGTATCTCCTCATTGTGGGGTCTAGGGCTGAGTGCCTGAGGGGCACCCTCACAGTTCCACAAAAGCTGGGCTCTTCCTGGGAGCAGGGAGAGTCCTGGGGGTCTTGTCACTCTGTATTTGCCTCACATGTTGCTGAGCAGTTGCTGAGCAGTTCTTGCTTCCACCTGTGTGTGCAGTGATCATCACCGCCTTTGACCTCTCTGACGTGCAGACTCTGGAGCACACCAGGCAAGTGTGGGACTCTGTGACCCCCAAGATGCTGGTCTCAGGAAGTGGCCTAGAAGTGGCCAAGCCCATGCCAGTGGACTGAGCCCCTACATGTGGCCGGGTTCATTTGTTAGGACCAACTGCCCACTGGCCACCTGCTATTCAGGCACTTTTTTAATCCCTCAAGATTTGCACCCATCTGCTGAGACCAGGGCCAGCTCAGGGCCTGCCAGTGCCATTTCATGGGTCTCTATGCGCAGAAGGGCCATCTTGAAAGCCTTCATCATCATGGGATGAGACCAGGGCCAGCTCAGGGCCTGCCAGTGCCATTTCATGGGTCTCTATGCGCAGAAGGGCCATCTTGAAAGCCTTCATCATCATGGGATGAGGGCCTCACATTTTCACTTTGCTGTAGGCCCTGCCAGTTATATAGCCAATGCTGTCTGAGGTGACAGAACTAATCAGGCACTTGCTGTTTGGGCTGAGATGTGGGCAAGAGAGCTGGCAGCATGACTCAATCTTGCTTCAGCTCAGAATCATCCAGCTAATGAGCCAAAGCCTCTTTTTTTTTAACCTTACTTTTGTTTGAGGCACTCATAGCTGACATTTCCCAGGCCCTTTGGGGAGTCCAGGGGATGGTTTCAGTTGACCAAAGTGCAGGACTCAACCGAGTTGACACTGGGCCAGGGAAGGGCTAGGCCAGGACAGAGTCTTCCCGTCCCCTGCCGGGTGCCTTCACATTCCCACCCCTTCAGTCTAAAAGAGGCCCTTTCTGCTGCAGGATGAGTGCCCCAATCAAGGAAAGTCAAAATGTCCTTCCTACACCTCCTAGCTCTGTGCTCCCAGCTCTGGGGAGGATGCTGGTATGCACCTCTGTCCCCTGGTCTTCCTTGGGCCCTCTAGGTGAGTGAGTGGAGGGACGCATCTCTCAGCCCATCTCCTCTCTGTGCATTCCAGGCAGTGGCTGGAGGATGCACTGAGAGAGAATGAGTCAGGCTCCTGCTTCGTGTTCCTTGTAGGAACCAAGAAGGACCTTCTGGTGAGCAAAGTAGAGCTGGAGGCCTGGGTGGCCCTTGGGAAAATGCATCTGCTTTCAGCTCCAGCTTGAGGAGGGGGTGGGTGGCACTGATGTGCCCAGATGGGAATTTGAAGACTACAGGCCCTGGAACTGAAAGTTAGGAGCACTCTAGCTCCCTGTGCGCATCTCATCAGAGAAGAGTAGCTGGGACTCACCAACCCCTGGGCCAGCATCCCCAAGGCCCCCACACTGGGGAGGGAGGAGGCACAGCGGGCAGCTACTCCCCTGGGTACCTCCCTGTAGGAGGTCCCAGGGAGCTGGGTCAGGAGGACCACTTCTCCCAGTCAGGGGCGGCGTGTGAGCAAGTGGAAGCGGAGGCTGTGCGCCTGGCCAACCAGTTGCAGGCGGAGTACTGGTCAGTGTCAGCCAAGACGGGTGAGTGGGTGCAGAATTGTCAACATGGGAGGTTCAGGGCCAGCTGTGGGAGCCTCTTGTGTTTCCTTCTGCAGCTCTAGTATATATCTAGGTCATAGTCCAGATGTGCTATAACTGCAAGACCATTTGTTGCCTGAGAAGAATCTCTTCCCCTCTGGAAGGGACAGGAGGGATAGTGACACCTGCCCCTGGGCCTCTGTGTTCTCTAGTGCAGCCCCCACACCACCTGTGAGGCAGCTCTGTTCTTTTCCCATGAAGTCTCTTCTAGGGTCATGGGAGGAAGTGGCGGGGATGGGATGAGAACATCTGTAACCACTACACCATCCTGTCCCCAATCTGTGGCAGCTGCGGGGGAGGCCCCCCCAGCACACACAGAAGTCCCATCCCTTCCCCAGGTGGCATGGCTGCCCTGAAAGGGTATTCATGCCCCCTTAGTCCTCATCTAGTCTACTCCTTTGCCACACTGTGCCCTTGACCCCTAAGTCACCTTCATCCATGGGCCACCGTTTACCCTACCCCCAGACAAGATCTCTAATGTCTCTGAGCCTCAGTGTTCTCATCTGCTAAGCGGGGTGATGCTAACTATCTCATTTTGCTTTTAATGAACAAAACATGTTTTACATTACAAAAATCACGTGTATTCACTGAGGAAAAATTAGAAAATGCAGAGAAGCAAATAACAGACTTTGAAAACAGGTTATCGGGACATGAAATGAAATAACATGCAGTGCCTGATGTTTAGTAGTCCCCAGAGACTGGGAACTCAGGAATGTGTCTGGTAGTCCTTGCTCAATGCTGCTGCAATGGATGTCTGGCCAGGGACTGGGTGAGGTGGCAGCAAGAGTGCTGGGGACCAGGGGTGGAGGCACCACGGGCCCAACACAAAAATGTGGCAGAACCCAGAGTACTCTGCCCCTCCTGACAGTGTCCCTGTGCCCTGTGAGTACCCTGCCTGCCTATCAGAGTGCCAGAACATTCACTGAGAGCTTCCTGGGGGCCAAGCAGGATCTTCCCGCACCGTTGTACAGGGTGTTAGCTGCACAAGCTCAGTGTGCATGTTGAGGGCTGGAGCCTGATGCTGTGCCCAGATGTGTGGCCTCCACATGGGGGCTAAGAGAACTTAAATGCTCACAGCTACCCATTAGACATGTGCTCAAAAGTGACAGGAGAGCAGGTACAACAGTGTCTGTACATCCCAGCACCTGGCCCATAGGAGGTACTCAGTAGCTATTGAATAGAATAGATGCTGGAAAACTGACAGAGATTTAAGGGAGATTCTGTGGCAGATGGCAGAGTCAGGAGGCACCTGGGACAGATGTGAAACCAGGCTGACAGGCCCATCCTCTGTGCTCTGCTGTTTGGAGCTGCACTCCCATGTGGTGGTGGTGACCATCAGAACTGCTCTGGAAGAGGCCACGTACCAGCCAGAGGTTGGCTGCCCTGGCTCCCATGTGAGCCAGCTCCCAACCAAATGCACCTGTGGGTGACAGCAGAGGCGGGCAGGGTCACGGCTGTCTCGTGGGCCCACAGGGGAGAATGTGAAGGCGTTCTTCAGCCGTGTAGCTGCCCTGGCGTTTGAGCAGTCGGTGCTTCAGGACCTGGAGAGGAGAAGCAGTGCCCGGCTCCAGGTCGGCGATGGAGACCTCATCCGTGCGTACAGGTGGCATGTCAGGGCTGGGAGCAGGCTGTGGCCTAAAATCCATGTCCACCTTCTCCCTGCCCCAAGCCCAAGCGAGATCCTTAACTTAGCACTTTCTGCTGCCCTTTGGTGGGTCTCCCTGGGCTGTCCTTTCTCCTGTCACTCTGATATCAGTTCCACAGACTCTGCGACACTGCCCGCCAACTCAGAACACCCTTCTCCCCAACCTCCCAGGTTTCCTTGTCCTCCTGCTTGTGGGCTTGCCTAGGCAGCCCTAGCTCCATGGAAGTGTCCTGACTGTGGATGCTCCTAATCTATGCCTTTGCCCTTTCTGTTCCACCACCTGGAATGCGTTCCGGGCCTCCTGGCCTGTGCTAGGTCACCAAGGTCTTGGATAAGAGGCCTTAGGGGTTCAGGCTCATGAATCTAACCATCAGTCACAAGGGTATCCATGGGGGTGCCTTACCCAATGTCAGCATTGGGTGTTTGGTTGATGCCAAGTGACTTCTCCCCTTTGTACAGGGATGGACAACAGTCTACCTAAGGCCCAGGAGAGCAAGAGGCCTACCAGCCTGGGTTGCTGTTAGCTGGAGTCTGCATCAGAGTCCTCCATTCCTTTCACATGCACAGATAGTGGTTCCTGTGACTGGAGAGGAGACATGGAGGCTGAGCTCTATGACTTGTCTGCCTGGAAAGACCCTCAGGACTGCCCAGCTGAGGGTGTGGGCACTGGTAATCGTCTGGAAAGCCACTCATACCTACAGAGACACCAGGCAGTACCCCTTCACTTTGAGAGATCTCAGGACTGCAGACATGGGACATTGCACCACACGGCCTACATCCCTTCCCCTCAGCATACATCAGAAGTCCACCTTGGCACACTTTTCCGGCTTCCTGGACTGGCCTCAGAATCCTCATCTCAGTGGTCCAGGCGAGCAGGACTTATCAAAGTTGGTTCATGAGGGAAACCCACCTGCCATCCCTGCTTGAAATTTTTCTGTTGCTGACAGGACATGTAGTTCTGGGCCTCAGAGCCCTGGTCCTCACACTTACCCTCCCTCTTCCACAGACTTGCAGCCTCTGGGAGCCCTCTCCAGAGGAGGACTGATAAGTTCTCTCAGGCACTTCTGGCCAATGGACTGTCTCTGACTCCTCCTCGATTCCTGGGATTCTACCCTCCTGTCCAGGGGGTGAGGACAGGCAGAATGGGCCCCCCGAGCAGCCCCCAAGCTGCTTTTGCTCCCCTAGATAATGCATTCCCTCATCTGCCCTAAGAAAGAAGACTGCCCAGTGACCCCTGGGGGATCTCTCTACATCCCTTAAGCATGCCACTGTCCTGCTCTGCCACCTGCAGTAACCACCCAGACTCTGCTAAGCTGGTGCTCACTGTTGCCCCCAGCAACCTTCTCCTGCCAGCCTGGGCAGGAAGAGCCTGGAAATGAGAAAGCACTGGGCACGTGCCTCTCAGGGACCTTTGTGATGGTGGCCACACATCTTCGGGGGACATTGGAAGCCCTCCACAGTCAAGCATGCACCCTATCTTCACCTCCCCTGCACCCCCAGAGCAGGGATGACTGTCCCTCACCTCCCCTGTGCAGTTCTGCCCAGCATGGCCTGCCCTCCATGCCATCACATTGCCCCTCCCCACGCATCCCTGCATAACTTTGTGCCATCAGCAAGTAGGCATATTTGCTTCTCGTAGATGGTAAGTGTTGTGGACAGCTATTCTAGTCAGCACCATCTCCCAGTTCCCTGGACAGGGCCTGGCACAGCAGAGGAGCCTCACGAATGTTCTTAGCTTTGAGAGATTGCCAAATATCTGTTGGGGAAGAACACTGGCATCTTTCTCTGTTCACTCCCCCTTCACCATATTTTTAGCTCTTCTTTTTTTAATAGATATAAAATGCATTTTTATATAAATCACTCTTGAAAGAATTATGTGCTTATTGTGAAACAAAACAAAGCAAAACAAGATGGTGCGAAGCTTTGTGTCTAATCCAAAGTGGAAGTCCCCCTCTAGCCGGTGGCCCTCTCCAGAAGTAAGCCCTAACAGCTGGCAGGATTCCTTCAGACTGTTCCTGTGTGAGCACAACCACATTGTTGGCTGGTTTGTTGTTTAACCAGAATGACCTCTTACCACACACGCTGCTTAGCAGCCTGTGTTCTTGGTGCCCTGCTGGAGCCCTCACTGCCAAGGCATGCCCAGCCTGCTGGCTCCTTTAGCAGCTGCCAGTTTTCCTTCATGCGGATGGACCCAAGTCCATTTTAACCTGCCCTGTACTTGGGACACTTGGTTTGAGTCTGGCTTGTAGCTTTTACTGAAGGTGCCGAGTAATCATCCCTGTAGTTAGGGCTTTGTACACTCAGGATTCCCCAAAGAGGCCTCACTGAACCCTCTATGAACTGTGGCCCCACCTTGGCCACTAGATGCAGTTCTGGGAGCAGGCAGGATCGGGGTACCATAGGACCAGTAGAAACCTGTCCAGGGAGTCTGGAGTACCCCACAGCTCCCTCCCCTTACCTCTTCATCCCCCAGGCTTGGGTGGGGGAAGTAATGATGTCCTACCTTTACCGTTGATAACTCCTGAGCACTAATAGCACCACAGTCCCATGTGTGCCCACTGTGCTATCATGGTCCTTTATTCAACCCTCCACACATTGTTAATCTTTGTGCTCAATTGTTTTCCACCACGGATTCCATCAGATTATTTCTGGTGGTTCACTAATAACTAGTAAACAGTCTATTCAGATAACTGAAAATTTGCATGTTTCTGGGGCAGAGACACACTCTTGGTATGGTCTGGTAGATGCAGGCATGCAGCGTCCTGCAGCCACAGCAGAGTGCTCAAAGGGACCCAGGGACCATAAGCATGAGTTTCAGAAAAATCACTTGCCCATTTTCCGGCCCCCTCCCCGACCCTCCCAGTCCATGCTCTTGCCCTGGCAGGTGAATGCATGCTGGCATTCACTAGCATCCACCCTGCAGGCTCCCCATGCTCCAGCCTTCATCCCCAGTCACCATGCAGTCTTTGCAGGTGCCAGGCCCTCTCCCTTGCCCAACAGCTGGTGTGCCCCTACTCCAGGACGTTAGGGATGATGCGCCATGACTTGGAGTATGTTACCTCTGGATGTGGTTGTCTGTGTCTGGGCTTTCTCTCTTAGCTGTGGGACTGTTAGGGGGAAAGGATGTCCTGAGCTAATTCCATACAGGCTTTGTGGACCCCACCCCCACTCCAGACCAAAGCCATCAGCACATTGGGAAAGACAAATCCCATCACCACCAAAGGGAAGGTGGCTGGGACCTGAGGGTGGAGGTAAGCAGCCAGGTTTGGTATAAAACCAGACACATGGGTCTTGGGCCCACTCACTTCTTGTCGTCAAGGCTCTTGGCTCACCGCCAGCTCTCAGAGTGCCATTTGGGATTCCAGGTCAGTGGAACGGGTAGGACACATTTAAGACTTTATTTCCCTCTTTTCTCCTTGAGTTGTACATGTCCTCATTTTCCCTTTCCCTTGTAAATAAACCTTTTATTAATCTTTTGTGTGTGCCTGCAGTTAAGTATTAATAAGTCCCTTTTAAGTGCGGGTGAGGACCCACAGTCAGGCAACCTGTTTTATATCGGGTTTGCTCTGTAACAGGACCTCCAAAGCTAGGGTGGTAACTGTTATTGTTATAGGGCAACCCCGACACAAAACGGGTTGCCTGACTGTGCTAGTGCGCTTATGGTGACCAATGCATGGAATGTTACTTTGGGCTGGTCAACTGCGGGTATAACTTGGAAACCACGTTGGGTGCCAAACTGTTATGGGTTGCCTGACTGTGGGTCCTCACCCGCGCGCTTAAAAGGACCTATCAATACTCTACTGCAGGCACACACGAAAGGTGAATAAAAGGTTTATTTACAAGGGAAGGGGAAATGAGGAAATGTACAACTCAGGGAGAAGAGTGGGAGACAAAGTTTTAAATGCGTCCTACCCCATCTGCTGTTCTGGAATCCCAAATGGCACTCTGAGAGCTGGCCGCAAGCCCGGAGCCGTGAAGCCAGGAGGCGAGCGAGAGAGCGAGCCCCCCAAGGCCCACGTGTTTGGTTTTTATACCAAACCTGGCTGCTTAACTCCACCCTCAGGTCCCAGCCACCTTCCCTTTGGCGATGATGGGATTTGTCTGTCCCAATGTCTTTTTTTTTTAGAGGCATGTTTTATTTATTTGTTTGTTTGTTTTGTTTATACATGCACTGGGTACAGTCAGAAGCACAGGAGGGTGAGAGAATTCACCAGAGCAGGGAGCAGAGCAGGCAGAAGGACCAAAGCACACTGCTAAGGGGAGCAGGGGCGGCAGGAGAGGTCTGCGCGCCATGTGGGACCCTCGCTGGTGGCCGGGGAGCAGCCGGGGATCGAACCGGCGCCGCAGAGGCCGCAGGCAGCTTCGCAACCCAGCGCTCAACCGCTGCGCCACCGGGGAGGCCCTGTCCCAATGTCTTGATGGCTTTGGTCTGGAGTGGGGGTGGAGTCCATAAAGCCTGCATGGAATTAGCTCAGGACATCCTTTCCCCCTAACATCATCTCTTCTGTCTTCCCCAGCACCTCCAGGATGAAAGGCCTGCAGCTGCACTCAATAGATGTGTGAAGCAGGCAGGAAGGACAGGGAGAGGTGCAGCCCAAACCCCGCAAACCTGCCTATTCTACATGGGTTCTGCCATCCGCCGCATCAACACAAAACATAGGAGACTTTAATGGGAAGGAACTTTAATAAAACTAGGAAATACAGGTAAGGCAAAGAGTCTAGTTTCTAAATGAAGCATCCAGAGTTACCCGTCCCCTCGTGGGTAAAAGTCCATCCATATGGGATTGGCCCAGAACAAGGCCCCAAAGCCTGCTACAAGTCTAAAGCATCTTCCAGTGGGGACCCACAGAGAAGGGTCACAAACAACTGGACAAGCCCGGAAGGAAAAGAGCAAAATCAACGTCAAGATAAAAGCTGCCATTGTCACCTCCCCACGGGTCTCACCCACATATGTGTCACCTAGTCCACGACCAAAAGACAAGCGCAGTTTCTTCACATGTCTCTAGGCTCCATGCGCCTCTTCCAGGTCTCCTGGCTCCATCCTGCTTCCTTCCTTCCTCAGTCTCCTCTGCAGCTTCTCCTCTTCCTGCTCAGCTCCACCCTCCCTTGGGAGGGGCAGGGAACCTCCCCCTTTCCTGGGGACCACCCTGTTACAATTTCACTCTAGCCCAAGATGTCCCCTGAGAACTGTAGTCCTCCTTACCCTTCCTTGTGATGCCGGAATTGTCAGGTCTAGTCTCCCAGCCAGGAACGGATTCCAGGCTGCAGGGCAGTGCTGAGCCCCAGTCGCTAGACCCCCCACGGGTTGGTGTCTCACGAAGCCGCAGCAGGAACTTCGCAGACGCTCAGGCAAGCAAGCGAGAAGAGGCAGTTTGTTTATAGAAAGAAAAAGTTTATTGAGGAGGAAAAGAGCAGAAATAAAGTGGGACTCCCAGGCCAGGGAACCAGGCCTGGGAGGGGCAAGGAAGCCAAAGTGGAATTGTGTTTCAGGAATATATACCTTTTTCCCTCATTATTCTAAAACTTCACCAGTCTCTTTGTGATTGGTTAGTTCTCGGCTGTCTCACTTAATTTGCTACTGAGTGCGGGATCTTCACATTCCTTATCTAACAGCTTTGTCTTTCCCCATTTGTTGCATCTTTAAATTTTGGCCCAGTCCTCTGGATGGACATCCCTGCATTGAAGTTAAATAGCTGCCCTTCTAATGTGTCCATAAATTAAACCACTCTCCATTTCTCCAATCTCCGCCTCCCTTTACCACCTGAAGGAAACCAGGACCAGCATTAACAATGTTGTCCTTGGTCCTGGCATGTTTGTTTTTCCTAATGGAATTGGTTATATTTCTTTGGTTGTCCTTATCTCTGAAGCCTCCCTAAATTCTTCAGAGGTCCCCTCCTGCACTATCCCTAAAACTGCCCAATAACCCTAGCTTGCCCTGTCTCACTTGGTAGTCAGAGACAGGTGTGCCTCACCACTTACTTGAAGGACCCCGAAGTCCTGCTGACCTGAGACCCTTGCAGGCATTAACCAGGAGGGCTGGGTGTCCTGACTCTTCTGTCCCCATCTAACAGATATGAGGGTTGGGGGCAGTTTCAGAGGTGAGGCATGGGACGGAATAAATGCCTTCTTCCTATTCCTCGTCCCTGCCTCTGCTTCAGTCACCTACCTGGAAGCACCCCCCACCACCATCTCGCAGCTAGTCACACTCTGATCCCTGGCCCCTGCCCCGCCCCCATATTGGCTCTTCCCCAGCCCTGAAACCATGTGACAAGTCTTCTAAAGGACTCTGAGCTGAATATTCACTCTTAGTCTCTTTAATCTTGTGCCCTGGGGGCCTGCTTGCCTTTCTGGCTCCCCTCCCCCCATCTACAGTCCTGCTGAGGCCTCTGGAGGGGAGGGAGATCCAGGAACCATTTAGCTCCATTCTAGCCTGGGGGGATGGTAGCCACTCCCTCTGAATCTCACACTCAGGAGGGACCCAGGGGAAACCTCAGGTCACTGAAGATGTAGGTCACTGGAACATAGAGATAGACACAGTATCTGTTACATTCACTCTCTACTTGTCACAGTGTAAGAGGTAGTGAACCCTGGAGAGGCCCAGGTAGACATGGAGTTCCAGGCTCTGGGGACAAGGCAGGAACAAGAGGATATGTGGGGTGGGAAGTTTTTGGAAAGAGGCAGCAGGCAGCTTAAAGAGAGGGGCTCCTCTTCTGAAGGAGAAGGGGCTCCTGGAGACTGGGGAGTCTTGGGCAGAATGCCCTGAGAGGAGACACCTTCCAACAGCTTCCCAGCATCTCCCTGGGCTCCTCTGCCATCTGCTGTGGCCTCCCAATGTCACCTGCCATATGTCAGGCCTTCCCCTGAGGGAAGTTGATCGGCAGACGGGAAGTGTAACTGTCACAGAGCCTCCTTCCAGGCAGCTCAGCTCAGATGCTTCTAGGCCTCCACCCCCTCATTCACACACCACCAGCCACCTGTCTGAGCCTAACCATGTGGGCCTCCTGTCACAGGGCTGCTTGCTCCCCACCCAGCCTTCCTGGATACAAAGCGGGTGGGAAATAAAGCAGCCCTGGGGCTCCATCCCCCACGGGTGGGTGTCATCTCCTGGCCTGAGGGTGCTCTGGCCTCTGAGCACTGGAAGCACAGCCTATTTCATCTCCATGGCCAGACCTCCTGGAACAAGCTCATCTTCTCATTTTGTCCCAGCCCCCTTGCTCTCTGTGAAGCCAGGACTCTCCGCTGGGATTCCCCAGCCCAGTGATCTCATCAATAATTGATTCTGTGGAAGATGGTGGCCTCACAGCTGTGGCAGGAGGGCCTGGGAGGTAAGATCCACCCTTACTCATTTGGAACCCTTGACCATAGAAACCCCCATAAATCTCTTCTCCTGCTTTGGGGTAGAGTTGGGGGCCTGGAGTTGGTGCTCAGCAGGCACCACCCAGCATAGTGTAAGCAAATGGGTCTAGTGAACAGCACTATCGATCGCCCCAGTTTTCTGATCTTCTCTGAAACTCCCTGGGGCTGACAGATGACAGATGATGGATGACAGATGACAAATGGGAGTCACGTGGCCATATGCTGCTTGGAGAGAGTCCTCCTTTGGACTCTGGCCCCCAAAACGGGTGGAGATAAGGGTATAGACAAGACAGGGAAGGGGCAATAAAAGGCCCAG